TAGATCATGAATAAATATTATTAAGTGACCTAAACTAGATTGTACAAAATATTTGGTATGTAAATTAGATTGTAAGATTATTATTTAATGGAATGAAAGCAAAGGGAAAAGACATCCGGTCTATTCAAAATTCAACATATTTTTCTCAAAACTTTGAGAGTGGCTAAATCAAGCATTCTTTGCTAAGTGGTTTTATATATTTTTTTAATTAGTGTTTAGTTTATTTTCTGTAGTTATTTTCAACACAAGTAAGCAAAAATCTGCCACAATCACGCCATCTATTATTTTTTCACCTCCACTCAACAAAGCTTTCAAATCATAACCCTAAACAATCCTTGCATGTTTCTTCAAACATAATTATGCTATCCATAGATAGCAGCCATGCAACATTTATCTTTCACAACCATCTCATAAGCTCTATGTAAAGTTAGACACCAAAATCAGCCTTAAATGTCTCAGGTTATGGTTGGATCCCACCTTTCCATAGTCTCGTAAGCCTCTACTTTTCCAATAACTTTGCATACTTCTCCTAACACCCTTGTCAATCAATTATAATCACATTGGCTATGAGAACTCTTAAATTTTCAAACCTCATTGCTTCACTTATTGACTTTACCATGAATATGCAACATATAACCATGCATATTTTAGCATATCTGCATGTGCTTTGCACTTGGAGCTTATTTTAGGGGACAATATTTTGCTATGATAACTTGGAGCTTATTTTAGCTTGTTTAACTTTGCATACTTCTCCTAACACCCTCGTCAATCCATTATAATCACATTGGCTATGAGAACCTTAAATTTTCAAACCTTATTGCTCACTTATTGAACTTTACCATGAATATGCAACTTATAACCACGCATATTTTAGCATATCTGCATGTGCTTTGGACTTGGAGCTTATTTTAGGGGACAATATTTGGATTTTGTTTTAGTTTTTTTATTTTTATTTTAAAAAATATTTTTTTAATGCAGTTTTTTACATGCTTTTATTTATTATGTCTAAAAATTAAATAAAATGTTTTAGAAAACTCTTAAAATAATTTTTATGTGTTTTGATTGTTTTTAAAAATAACCATATCTTAATCGAACATGTTGAACATGTTTTGTTTCAAATCAAAACATAAAAAAAAATAATAATAATAATAATAATAATAAAAAGACAAAAACACAAGTGATACTAAACACCCCTTTATTGTCATTTTTTAATTTTTATGAATTTTTCCAAAACATAAAAAATAATAATAATAATAATAATAAAAAGACTAAAACACAAGTGATACTAAACAGCCCTTTATTGTCATTTTTTAATTTTTATGAATTTTTCAGTGTAAAGGTTTAAATTTTTAATTTTTTTTTTTTTTAGCTGTGAAGTCTTGAAATGCATTTATTCTCTACATAAAGGGCTCGAAATTTATCTCAAGAGGAGATGATTAACTAGTTTTTCCCTTCTCATCTACTGTTTGCCTGGTTATGGGATCGAGATTTCTTGTGGGCACGAGACCACATAATCACCTCTCCGATCCATAACAGAGAAGTCTATGTTATAGATATCACCCAACTCGTCCATTTAAAAATCATTTGGCTTTTCCAATTCTCAGCTTACTTCCTATATTTTCCTTATTTTTTTTGTTCCATATAAAGTTTTACAACATTGATGATGCTTGTAATATATAAACCATAATGTATCTTTATTCTTTCAACCTCACTTCTTCCTGCTTGAAATCCATAAAATCTTTCTCGCAGAGACTATGGAACTTCTCAACTGGAAAGTTCTTGAAAACCTACACAGGCCATGAGAATTCGAAGTACTGCATCCCTGCAAGTTTCTCTGTGACAAATGGCAAGTACATCGTCAGCGGTTCGGAGGACAACTCCATCTACCTTTGGGATCTACAAACAAGAAAGATTGTCCAGAAACTCGAAGGCCACACTGATACCGTCATCGCAGTTTCCTGTCATCCGTCAAAAAATATGATCGCATCTGGCGCTCTAACAAACGATCGAACGGTGAAGGTATGGGTTCAGGAAACTTGAGTTTGTTAATGTAGGTTTTATAATTAGGAAAATTTACCTACCTAGCGCAAAATTCTTATGTATTTTCATGTCTCCCAGTTAACATTGATATATACATTGCACTTTTGATATGATTTTAAAGAGTTGAGTGCTATGTGTGAAAATATGAAAGTTTAGGTGTGAGAGATACAAATACATGAGAATTGTGTGCTAGGTATGTAAATGTCCCCGTAGATTTGTAGTAGGCAGCGTGTGAGAAATCTATTGAGCAATCTATACTGTTTAGTTTTGTGGAAATATGCTGATGCTGCTTGTCTTGATTTTGGCTGGAAGTATTTGCACAACTGCTCTAGACGTTCTTTTCAATGCAGCAAAGAAGCTTTGTAAAATTGAATTCAATTTTGATGTTGGCTGTCATCTGATTGATTATTCCAAGAGATTTTTTCTTCATTTTCTGTATGATTGCGCTGAACTGATGGACTGAAAAACTTGTTCAACTATGATAAAATGTGACATTATTCATGAGAGTTACAAATCTTAAAAATCATTTGATAATGATCGAGTTATCAACCTTGCACAGCTCTTGATGAGGAAGATGATTTAGCATCCATAATCACAAGCAAATTTAAACCAAGTAGGTTGATAATATCACTTTTTAAGTTGCTCGATAATGACCTATTTACTATAATATGAAACGAACATGAATCAAAGTTGAACTATTAGAATGACAAATGAACTAAGCTCGAGCTTGAATTATTTTAACGCTTGCAATTTTATTGAAAAACTAAGGTTTAGATATTACATATGTAAATACATACAAATTGGATGGCATGTATCAAATGCCCCAAAAAAACACTATCCATAAAAAAAAAAAAATCATGATATCCATAACTATTAAGAACTCTTTTTTTTTTTTTTTTTAAAATTTTTAAAATGAAATATTGCAGAAAGTTACAGTCCGGCCAATAAATACTTTCTCCTGCAACAGTGAGGTTCCCTTTCATTGAAGGAATCTAAAATCTTGGGATGATCTGTCGAAGATCTACTTGTAGTTATGAATCTATTAATGGATCCTCTGCAACAGCTGCCCATTGTTAGTCCATTTCGATCCTCGCCGATATAATTTAATTCGCTGTAGCTGTCATTTTTTGTTTATTTAATTTCATTGTATTTCGAGTCCTTTTTTTTTTATTAAATCGAATATTACAATAATGCTGTAAAGAAACAGATGATCATGTCAGGGAGACTTCGATGATGGCTCTTGTGAGAGTATAAATAAATACGTATACAGGGAATTTTCGTTACGTTAAATTTTTCTTATTGAATTAAGCCCAAATATGAAAGTGTTTAAATCAGAAACATTGTTGAGGTGGCTAAATCAAACTCATCTTAATAAAGTGGTTAAATCGGGCGACATGTCAAAATGGCTTAGTCGTGCTTACCTGTCGACTTGATCGTTTTAATCCGTCTCAGAAGGACAACCTAGCTTATCGGTGTACGGGCAGACACCAAAAGAAATCACCATGACAACAAAGAAGCCATCATTACTACTAAAGACACCGCCCGACACTTAGAACTCGTTCCATTCACCAATATGCCATGGATGACCATAGTAACGATAATATCTAACATCAGTTTATAATATCTTACATCCACAGCACAATCTTTCATCAAGATACGGAAGAAAGATGACATGTAGTATAAGATGTATTATTCTAATTATTTTATTGATTTTCTATGTTATGTGTAAAAGGGGAGGGAAAAGATAGTGAGAGACTTCTTCTTTCTCTCTAGATCCTGCTTTGGTTTCTCGCCCCTCTCTAGAGATTGCTTCTCATCTTCATTTTCCTTTTTTCTCTCTTTAAAATCCTGTAACTCAGAGAACATCTAAAGAGCTGTCTCTCTTCGACTTACTTAAAATCGGAATTTAATAGATTTCCTAAAACTCCCTTAGAAGTCTCTCATCCATCTCTCTCTCATTATCATTTTCTTCACGGTACAGTCTTTTATTGATTTGTATATACTCATAAAAGATACACGACCCTACGCCCCAAAAGGATTCAACTATTCGATTATATTGTTTCTTATCATTAAAATTATTCTATTTAATTAATCAGACACCCAAATTCTAATGTGGCATCATCATAATTCATAATTATGAAAAAAAAAACTAATTAAAATATGCTCATAAAAATTTTGTTAAGAAGAACCTTAAACCCCTTGAGCTAATTTTGGAAAGAATTTAATATCTGTGATTAATCAACAAAAGATCATGCTACAACCTCCTCAAACCAAATTTAGTAATTTTAAAATTTATTTAGATTAAATTAAATATAAATTTTTTTTTGGTCTAAAAAAGACCTTTTTTAATGACCTTCTTTAACTATTTTTAGTTTTCCCGTCTCGAAATAATTCAAAATCGCTAAAAATCAGGTGAGTGGGTTATTTTATGCTTAATGATTGTTTGGTCAACATGACTTGAACGCTAAGCAACTGTAGACTGTGAGATAGTAGTTTAGAATATTATGATTAGAAATTAATTAAAACGAAATCAAATATTTAAAGTAAGTGTAGTATTAAAATCAACATTTAATTTTTTTTATGACACTCATCTCAAAATAAATTAAATAAAATTTAAAGTTTAGGGTTGTTAAATTTTTGAATGAGGCTATGAATATGTTAATTTTTTACTCAGGACAATAACGCAGATGTTTAAGATTTCAAGATAAAAAATGATGTATGCTTGAGTATTGGTTGCTCATCGTCTTAGTGTTACACGAAAATTTGGTATACAAAAATTTAGTGCAAACACAAATAATAGAAGTATTTTCACGTGAAAATATGCAAGATAAAGAATCGTGGAGCTTAGCCCAACTGAAATGATACACTATAAGTTAGTGATTACACGTCCGAAATACCGGCGTGAAAGGGTTACATAATTCCTCGGAGAAGAAGGTTTGTAGGCTGAAGGAATCATTGCATGGTAGTAGGGAGTGGTTACAATTGGGCATAGTTATCAAGGGCTTGGTATACCGTCTTCGAAGAGTGTTGCTGAATTGTCTTTGGACAATGCGCTGCTCCTAGAGGTTTAAACGAGCTGAGCACAACTCGGTCTTGTGTTTGGCTCGTTTAAAAATATTGTTGTTTGTGTTCCAATCACTAATATATCGAGCTCAAACAATTTGCTCGTGTTAAGCTCATTTGCTTAGCGAGCCGAACATGAAACATTCCCGAACGAAGAGCCATTTTAACATCCCTAGTCATATAACCATAGGATGCTAAGGGCAGGGGTGAGTTTTAAAACCCATTATTTATATTAAAATGCTCATTTAGATAGAATTCTGTTCACATTGTCAACGCAGTCAATTTGACTGTAACTTTGTTGAAATGGAAGTTCTTGACGATTTTTAATTGGTTTTTGAACATTTCTTACCTAAAAATTATTTTTATTTTCATGCTAATTGATTTGAAATTTATTTCATGGTAAATTTTTTGGATGACATATCAAACATAAATAATAATCGATAAATCTCTGATGCCATTTCTATGTTTATTTAAACATTACTTACTTTTAATATAAACATAAATAAAAATAGATAAAGTTCTTCTAAGTGTTTTCCTTGTGCTATTGCATATATCATTCCTCTTTATTAGTTGAAAGTAATAAATAAATAAATAAATAAATAAATAAATAAATAAATAAATAAATAAATAAATAAATAAATAAATAAATAAATAAATAACATTCATCTAGAAAATTGCCAGACTAACCACCACGAGAAATGTGAAACTTTATGAACCAATAAGCGACTTATTCTTGTCTTAATATGTCTCATTAAGTTGACTAGAATCCATGCAATTACAATTATATTTTGAGTGGAATGATATATAATTATATATATATATCCTAATTTTATTTTTTCTGTGTTTCACACTATTTACATTCTAATACAAGGTTTAAGCCCCCTTATTTGATCTCATAAATTTTTTGAAGCTCAATTAAGAACAATTTTATAAGGCTCAATTAAAACTAAAATACTTTGAAAACTCTTAAATAATGCCATGTTGAATTTCAACCATGGGAGTAAGTACATCGAGTGAGCTCAACCCTGACTAATCGAGTTGTGAGCTCAAACTCAATCTCGGTTATTAGACCAACTCGTGCTTGAACGAGTTGAGGCTTGCATGTTGGCTACACTATTTAGTTTCAACTGCTGAATATATATTAAAAAAAAATAGCGAAAGCAAAAAAGGCTAAATATAAAAATATTTCAGCATTTAAAGACTGATTATATAAATAAATTTCAGTCTTGACTTTGTAGAGCAGTAGAAGGTGGAAACACAAGGAGCAGCAAAATCTTTTCAGCAGCTGAGAAGCCACTAAGCTCCAAGAACATATTTTTATATTTAGCAACTTTTGGAAAGAATTTGTGCATTTGACCAGTCTGTAAATCAAAACGTGTTTCACGTACACGTGACGGACACATGGCCGGAGAGGGCAGTAGATAAACCACCCACGTGATTTATGGGATATGATTCATCAAAATAATTATTTTTTTTTTAAAAACCACTTATTGCGTTATAATGCAGTAGGGCCTGTGGTTCTTGAAGATGTGATATCTTCTATTTATTTTATGATCACTTAAATTATCATGAGAGTTTACTTTATATCTGGATATACTTATAAGTACGGTACTGTTTTTTTTATTATATATATATATATATATAGCTCTCTATATATATATATATATCAATTGCTTTTTATTAAGAGGCAAGACAAATTAGAAATATAGTTGTTTGAGTAAAGGAACACGAAAGGAAAAGCTAATAGAGAGAGTTTAGAGAGAGAGAGAGAGAGAGAGAGAGAGAGAGAGAGTTATGTGATTTATTGAGTTTTGTTCTAGGATTCTAGGATTCTTTATCTTTCTCCTCTAGGGTTTTGAGAGTTTCTCCATCGTCTTTTCCCCATCTCTTGGGAAAACTAATTGTAGGGTTGTCTACAAAATCGTTTGTTGGTGGTCTACAGTGATTTAGGGGCATTGGCCGTTCATCAATTTTTGATTATGTATCTTTTCCTCTTCTTAATCACTCTTTTTCTCGATCTATTCTTGGGCCACATTCTCTTAATTGGAAGGACCTTATTGCTTCTAATAATTACTTTTTGTTTATACGCTTTTGAGCAAGGACAAAAAATACATCACACTGTTGCTGCAATGCATTCACAATCTAAATTATATGTATTTCAGATATCAGAAGAACCATAATTGAGACATGGTACACATTATATCAATAATAAAGAAGTTCGAGCAGTGACATTATATGTTTTACTAAATTACGATGAAGTTTAACTAATTATACAATAAAATTTCTAGTAATCAATTTTTTTTTTGAGTTATTACTCATAATGTTTACTGTTTGATTTCAACATACAAAAAAACCAATAATACGAATGGGTTGTTCGCTGAAAGTTTGAGCATAGAGGATCTCTATCATAAGCAAAATTATTGAAGAATATTTGATAGATTTAAATTATACATACCTTGAAAAAACTCTTCAATTCATCGATATGTAATGTAATTTTCAGGCTCAAAGTAATGGTAATTATATTTTGGAACTTCTTATAGTTTTATAATCAAATCAATAAAGTAATAGATTAGAGCTTATTAGATCTTGTACAATGTTCTAAGGGCAACGTCACTACGTGACAAATATTTGATGTAAATGGATATAAATTTCATATAAGTTCCTAGTATGAAGGGAACAAGACATAAAATTGTGTGTTTGTGTTAGAGGAAACACTCTCTTAGATAGTGCGCTCAGCTATTACGATGTACTTGAATAAGTAGCGTATTTGCAAAATTCAAGTTATATTGTGTGCAATATTGTATGTTTGTTCAACTGTGAATGATTTGATACTGTTCATCAGTAAAGAGCACATATTAAACAATATTACCAAAGTTAAAATGATCATAAGAAATATAAAATTTGATTTATTTATTATAGCAAATCAAGCTAGTCAGGTTTCTTATCTTTGACATACCGGTAGAGTACGAGATAAAATTGATTGAGTCACTGTTACAAGGAATAAACCTAGAAAAACTATTCAGTTACAAATAATTATTGAACACATTCATCTAGAGTAAGAAATGTCAGATTTTCATATTCAGGTCAATTCTATTGAATAAATGTTTATCCTAAAGGATATCTTAGGAACTTATAAAGAGATTTATCAAATTATGGATGACTATGATGATGATATAAATGAAAAAAAATTTAAGTTTATCATCAACTAACCCATCTAATGAAATATACCAAGAGTGGTATGTACATTAGCCTTCTATATTTCACATTGTATGCATGTTCTTCGTTTTACATTTTATATTCTTACATGTAGTTACAACATGTTTTCTATTTTGATTTTGCACATGTATATTTTTACTTTTATTAATTATATTATACCTTGCTTTAGCTACTAGTTTTTTTAATGTCATTCATCCTGCTACAGATAGTTTCAAATGGTACTGGAGAACAACCTCATCGGCATCTTCGTCAGGGCCCTAGCTAGTACATACATAAGGACAAAGAAGTTGGTATCCGCTTCGCTACGAGCACCACTAGTATTGTGTTGATTAATAACATTATGTATTGATTAAAAACATGATGTGTCGATTAGTAGCGCCACCACCACTACAACCCCTCCTGCACCTTCTGCCGCCGCTTTGATTAGGCATGTTACTCATTTTTTACCACCTGCTCTTATCTTTGCAGCCCCTCTCACACCTTCTGTTTCGATCATTCAACCACCACCTCTCTTCTCAAATGAAGTGAGCCTTTCAACTCCCTGCACTGTATGAAGGATACCTCGAATATGTATATATTGAGCCGGATGGGGATTCATAAGTTAGATTTTATATTATGATTAATTGAATGATATTTTCAATAAATTGTGTAATTAATATTTTTATTTCAGGTTCTAACCCCCCCC